ACATTAATTGCATCTTGAAAAATTCGGTAAAAGAAAAACGCGTTTTCAATTTGACATCCCTCATAGCAATGTAAATATCTTAATTTCAGGAACTGTGAAGAATACTATCGAACTAGTCTCTCAGAGTGACGGTACCTTCAGGCACCTCTGTAAGTTGTCAGGTCACAAAGGTGGAGTGACCAGTATGGCATTCTCTCTAGATGGCTTCCGTTTGTATATGGGTGGGGCGAGAAAAGACAAAGAAATCATATGCTGGGATCTACGTGTAGGATTATGTCGTTTTTGTCGTACGTTCATAAGAATGTGCCAGGATGATTTTCTTTTGAAGCAATGTCCTTATACCAATGGGATAAATTCAAGCCCCATAAGGCTGAGTCCACACCTGCATATGGTAGGCTTGGATTTGGGGTCTATAAGCAACACAGTTTACTGTTACAAAGTTGCTGACGTGTTGGGATAATTTATTTCCTTCAGGGCTCTGCAAAAAAAGAAATAATACACAAACTACATATACATTTTATTGTTTCAGTTAAGTAAGTATGTATATGTAAAATTTATTTCTACGTTTTCCAGGTCATTGCAATGAATATTAAATCAGTTTGCAAAAAAGGGCGGATTTCATATGGTGTAACATTTTTGCAAAAATGTTTTGATTGAGCTCAAATTTGAGTTTTAGATGTCTTCAGGGTCGCTAATAACGAATTTGATATCGATTGTGAAAATCGAATATGGCTGCTATTTTTACAAAAAATGTTTTGATAGCGATATCAAGAATGAAGTGCTTTTAAAATCGCAGATTACACGTCAAATATCGCTTTTTACAACATCTAAATGGCGGATCCAGTATGACGGTTATTTTTGCAGAAATGTGTCGATTGTGCTTGAATTTCGGTTTTATGTATTTTCAAGATATAATTCATGCATTATTGTATAATGTCGCTAATTGCCGAAATTGCATTTCGATGCAGCCAAAATTTGCTTATTTCTTAACTAGGTGTCTGACGATAAACATGTTATTATTCGAAATAGAGCGGGCTGGGCTTTTTAACTATTTCTTTAACATCAATTGCATACTGTTATATATTTCTTATATACTCCAACACCACGAAGGCCTAAGGCCTAAACACCCATGGGTACCGTGGGGCTATAGGGCAATACAGGGGAAAGGGGAACGCCACACGGACTCTGGCGAGGGAACACGTGTGCATACAACATGGACACATTCGGGTCCCGCCTACGAGATGTGCCGGGTGGTACTCTGCGTTTGACAGTCATAGACCATCCACCACAACATCATAGCCAAGAGAACAATTTCTCTTGGGACGGGATTCGAACCCGCACAGCGCACGGCGACTGATCGGGGAGACTGAAGAGTCTACTACTGCGGCACCGCTGCTGCCTAAATATTGTCTTCTGTATAATAACTATACATACCTTCGACTTCGCAATCCATTTTGCATATTCCAATATAGCTGATTATTTAAAACTTTTCGATTATACAATTTTTTGCACTTTTGGTCAGGCCTTTTCGTTCCTGAACCACGCCTAAGCATCTCCACGTCGACACACATGGTTCAAGGAATATACTTCGTTCTTCTTTAGTAATATTTGTTTTGATAATTTTTACCATATTAACTAAATACATGTTAACATCAAAACGATATTTACATCAGTACAATGATAATTCCTGGAGAAGCTGACACTTAGACGGATTAAGAAATAAATTATTCTCGTCACAGCAAGCTATTAAAGTATCAATATCCCGCTGAAGTGCAATACAATCAGCCTCAGACTCAATAATCCTGAATAATTTTAAATCATTTGCAAAGAGGAGTTTATTACGTTCTAAATATTGCACAATATCATCAATGAATAATGTAAACAATAAAGGACCAAGATTTGAACCCTGAGTCACTCCCGATTTAGTTACATACTGGTACGACTTGAAGCCATTGATGGTAACATATTGATTCCTTTCATAAAGATAACTTTGAATGAGTGCTAAAGCTGATGAATGGCATCCATAATGAGAAAGTTTATTTAAAAGTATGCCATGGTCCACCCTGTTGAACGCTTCAGCAAAATCAGTATGTACTACATCTCGTTGACCTTGCCGATCGACACATTCAATAGCGAACTGAGTAAAGATTGTTAAATTTGTTACTGTAGATCTCTGGTAAGAAAATCATGCTCAAATATTATCTCCAGAAATTTGGAAAAATTTGACAATATTGCCACTGCTCTATAGTTTTTAATATCAGTACTACCTAGAAGCCTACTCTGGCATTCCATCTCAGCACCCAACGTGTTATCCTGTCACTAAGCTCACCACCTACAGTGTGAACTCAGCCTAGCACTTTACTTTTCCCCTAAACCCATGGTTAAAATGTTGTGTTCCTTCACTTTAAGCGCTTAAGTCAGCTTTGGCGTAAATTATATGAACGTACGGTATCTGTACCCTTGGAATTAATTTTACAACCTCTGCTTCTCTTTGTTTTTTTCAGCGAAGCTCTCATTCAAGCTCTGAATTCAGTGTGTCGCATCTCAAGGCACTGTAGTGCAAACTGACTTCAGATTCGCGATTTGCGATGATTTGTATTGTTCTCTATCTGATCGAGGCAAAAGAATATTGACGAAATTTGCGTTTTAGGTGCCAGGTAGACCGATGTTCTGCGTATCTAGAGAAGCAAACACCAACCAAAAAATCTATATAGATCTGTCAGTAGATGGGAAATGGTTGGTTTCAGGCGGAACCGACGGTAAGGTACAAGTGTGGAATGTCGAACAGCAGACTTATCCTACTGTTCACATGCAGGTGGGTGTTTCTTTATACGTACGTTTACATTTTGGAAATATTTTAGCCGCTTTAACGTGGATCTTATATATCAGAGAAGCGATGGCAGTACTGTTCGTGTTGTAAAAATAACCCCGAAACTTGACACCTAAAGTACCAGTGGTGCTTTAACAGGCTTGCAATGTAGGTGGATTTTCTCCCAAATCTCGGTGATTTTTACTCATACGTTTCGCGGATAGAAAGCTTCCCCCCATGTTTGAACCAAACCCACCCCTTTCCAGTAATTTGTTGTGATTTGGAGGATTTTTAAAAAAAGTAGCAGTATGAAGGTTTTTTTGCGCCTATTTTGGGGAAATCCTGACCGACCCATCCGGCCACGCGGTGCTTTGAGGGATCCGCCATACAACTGTACGAGGGATGTCTTTTAAGTTTTGCAAATGGAAATAAAACAACACGGTAGGTAGTTTTAAATGACTTATTGTTTTTCGAAGTATTCTCCACGAAGATTAACACACATCTGCATGCGCTCGAACCAATTTTCGAAGCACTTATTCAACTCGTTTGCTGGCAGATCCAATGCGTCAACTGCTTCTTCTGGTGACTGGAACCTTTGACCACGCAGTCTGTTTTTAATTTTCGGGAAAGTAAAGAAATCGTTAGGACTTAGATCAGGACTATATGGAGGATGGTCCAATAATTCCACGTTTTCTCCCGTTAAATACTGCCTTGTCTTTTGGGCTGTGTGCGAGCTTGCATTGTCTTGGTGGAGGACGATTCTTCTTTCGGGGTTGATTTTTCGAACTTCGGTGATGACTTTTGGCAAACAAATGGTGGTATACCAATCCGCAGTAACAGTTCTTTGCTCGTTAAGAGGAATTGTTGCAATACGACATGCTTTTGACACAAATGTCTCGACCATCTTTTCGAAACACTTCGAGAACGGATGACTTTTGTTGGCTTTTCTTCACCTTGGAACACCCAAACAGCCGACTGTCGTTTATTTCCTGGTTCATAACAGTAAATCCACGATTCATCACCACTAATAATGCTGTACACATTTTCTTACTCCTAATTCTCCATGTAAAAATTTTGAATTGAGGTCTTTGAGATCTTCTAGAACGCCTCAATATCGCGATATGTCACATGTCTATCTTCAATGATGAGTGTGCGCACAGCATCGACGTTTTCCTGGGTGACTGCCGTTTTTGGTGCACCCACCCTGGGATCGTCGCTAAGACTCACCCGTCCATGTTTGAATTCTCCAAACCAAAGGGAAATTGTCGACTGATGTGGCGCTTCGTTGCCGAAATAGACCGTAACTCAGCGAGGCATTCTTGTTGCGATAATTGTCTCTGAAAGTTGTACTAAATTATGTCGCGAAAATGTTCTCGGTTGAATTCCATTTTCCTAATGACTTGGTGACACTTAAAAATTCACTGTAGTGAGAACACTGCACGTATTGTTGAGAAACTTTGAATTTAAGTTTACTAAAGAGTGAGGTTAAGATTCAGTACTGATGTCCTATCCGCGCGGCCTACTATGTTTCTATATGCAAAACTTAAAAGACATCCCTCGTAGGACGCCTTTAGGGTCTCCTTGATTTTCATAATTTTTCCTGTATTTCGCTGTTTCGGGTAAGCGCTCTTTTTTGAGGTTATATTTTCTATTTGAGTTCTAAGATATTTCAGGCTGATAAAACTTGATTTTTATTATCTATCAGCCTGAATTTTTGTAAGATTCAAAAACATAACCTCACAATACCTCAACATTTCCGAAGGAGAGTAAATACTATGGAAATCAAGGAGGCCATAAAGGCATCCTACAATTGTAGGAACGACTGACGATACGACCCTTAGCTCATTGTAAATTAACTCAACCATTTTTGCTTAATTCTTGTAAATCCCTGGTGTAGATAGCCGGACATCTGTTCGAAATTGTTACTGTTACTCAGCTATTTGTGAAGAACTGCTGAAAAGCCTCTCGTTGTGCGGTGATGCATTGTTTAACGAGGAGGTTCGTTGTTTGGAATTCCTGCTAGTCTCTAAAATGCTGGTGAAAAAATCAGTCTTCTGTCCAAAGACCGACCAAATTTATGGATTGATTAATTGAAGATTGGGTCCTTGATGGAAGAATAACCAAAATATGCAAGAATTTGTTCCGGATGTTTTAGAAAAAGTAACGTCTTGAGAAACAAAATTGGTGAAACTGAACGTGTATTTTATAAGAGATAGGCAATTATGATCCTGATTGAATTCTGAAACATGGAATTCTACAATCCTATTATTTTTTGATACTAGACTAAAATGGTGCAATCTCACGCGTAGTATCATAAAAGTTAATTATAATACCTAGGGGACAACTAACCAGATTTTACGAATAACTTTTGTTTTCATAAAGTTGAGTAAAAATCACTTGCGAAAAGTGTGATTTATAACTATGAAAACAGAAGGTATTCGGAAAACCTATAAGTTGCACCTAGCTGATTAGCTTTTAGTGGGAGATTTGACGATTTAGTTTAGTGTCAAACCGTGGTATCGATATAAATTGCCAGTTTGAGGTTAAAATGTTTCCTAAACCTGCGCATGGGCAGTATAGCTTATTTCACGAGTATCTGTCATGGTAGAATGACACCTGATTATCTAGTAATATCTCAAAATTCCCCATATCAGCACAGGATACGTAATTCTGACGGATCCGTCAACGTCAGGTAGTCAGAGTCGTATTTTGTTTTGGTTTTTTGTACGCTACAGATTCATTTTGTACTTGTTAACAGCTCTTTTATTTAGTTGAGTTCTGTTGCTTACAAAAAACAAAACGCTCCAAACAGTTTTACTAGATTTACACCCGATTCATTATTGCCTAACTAACACAAAAATTTCACTTGCTGATCAGCTATTTACCTCAGTAGATGTCAAAGCGTGATGAATACTTTTGAAATAGGGTATAGCTGGTATACTCCAGTCTCTGCGCCCTGAGTCTGGCGTCAAGTTTTGGGCTCGTTTTTTCTCATTTCGCCTGTTCGTCTGGAATATAGGCTATATGCCCTATAAGTCTGTTACCTGTCCGGTATCATAGTTACGTAAAAAAAATCGGAATCTAATCGCAACCGTTGTTATCAAACGCAAAATTCTTCCTAGGTACTACGTTACTCGGGTAGCTCACGCGCATCTTTTTTCTTTTGATAGGGAAAAGCTTTTATAGCCACTCTCGGGCAGGAACAACACGACAGTATTACCCTGCCGGCCCTTCCTGCCCGAAGTGTAAGAATCTCCAGAAATAGCATAATAACTAAAACCCCTCAGTCGTTCGCCACACATCCAATCACGGTAGTTCTTGCAGCATTTCATCATAGTGGGTAGCATTGCGCTAGGTTTTCATACCAAAGGTATGCTCTATCGTACACATACGTATACTTTATCTGAAGTCACTTGAAATAGCATAAAAACCTTTGGTCGGCGCGTCCTTTGTAATTTCATGACGTATCATAGGCGTGCGGTCATTTATTTAGAACGATAATAATGTTTTTATATCACAATAAATGGATTTACTATCTTCTTATTTTTTTGATTTGGGATAAAAAATACTTATATTGGGAGTTTAATTTATGTTGACTGAAAGTTAAGAAATGGAAAAATTACAGAATTCCGTTTGACATAGGCAAATATTTACATAGCAGGTAGGTATATAAAAAGGTATATAAAGACTTACATTATAGGTATTTATATATCATCCTCGCCTTCGGAGCTGTCGCTAGAGTCATCTTGTAGAGGAATTACAACGGGATTTACAGGAGGCAAAACACAATATTCATTTTCTTTTTCAATAATATGCCTAGAACACTGCTTCCATAGGTCTGTGGCAGCAATATGAGATACTGCATCTCTTATTGTGGCCAATAGCGATTCACTTAATTGAGGGGTTTGATTATGTTTTCTTACTTTTTTTTAAAGCAGCCCAGACCAACTCAATCGGGTTAAAAATGCAGTAATAGGGAGGTAGACGTAATACTTCATGGCCATTTTGCTGAAGCAGATTGTCAACAACATACTCTTTTTCAAATTTTTGTCTTTTAATAAGATCCAATAATATGGCTTTGGTTGATTTTTGTGGTATTTCAATTCCCTTATCCTTCATAAAATCAATAATGTCTTGTTTTTTGTGCCTGTATTCGGAATTTTGTTTTTCTGTCGGGAATGGTATGGCGCATTGTCCATAATAATCACTGAATTTGGGGAAATGTTTGGTATTAACTGCTGCTCTATCCACTTTTCAAATAAGTCGGAGGTCATGTCCTCATGATAGTCGGCACATGATTCTTTGATATTTTTGGCAGATAACAGCAAGGCATTAGGTATAAATCCATTTTCACTGCCAGCATGGAGAATAATGATTCGTTTTCCACGGTTGCATGGTGCATTTAAAATGCACTTGTTGCTGTCGTCAACCCAGCCGTACTGCACAACATCATGGGTGTCATACCACGTTTCATCCAGGTAAATCAGATTTCTTTTCTGCTCTCTATGGATTTTAACTTTGTGCAAAAATTCTTGGCGCAATTCAACGAGTCGAGACGACTCCATAATCACCATTCTTTTATCTAATTTTTTGTATTGAAAACCACACAGTTTTACAATACAGTGCAGTGAGTCTAAGCATTTGTAATTATAAAAATCTTCAGGATAATCTTTTAATTTATCCCGTATCATTTCCAACGTGGGCACCAAATTTTCTTTATAAAATCCGTATATTATACGACGAATATCTTCCTGAAAACCCACGTCTATTCTTTTTAATTTTTGCCCTATGCGCTTTCTGTGGAAGGAATGGTTGACTACATCTCCCCTTTTTATAACCCGATAAATGGTAGACCGACTGATTTTTGTCAGGATACAAATTCTGTTTAAAATTTGATTTTGCGAGGAATCTGGATTTTCGTTTTACAGACAATCATACATATTTAGGATGACTCTTTGGGTCTGTTCCTGTAAATCTTTATGAAAGAATTCTGCCTGCACAGGTTCATCAACCATCTCCTCGTGGCTTGGAGCATTTTCCCAAGGTCTCCAAAGAGCCATATTTAGGACACACAAGAACAATCAACACAACAATTAAATCAACAAGTAAACTGAGTATTCAAAAGTCAAAAACACACAAACTAATAAAATCTATGAAAAAACACGGACAGACTAAAGAAAACACATTTATTCACCGCTACACGGCACTGGCTAAACTGTTTCAATTTTCAGTAGCCACCTGCACTTGTTCGGAGCTCTGAAATACACGCTTTCTCATTGGCTATGTCCACGCATAGGCGTGCTTTACTCCACGTGGACCGGTGAAACTGCCTTTGATCTTATACTATATATATTATATTTGCTGCGAAATTTGGCGATTTTTGCAGCAACAGAACGTGTTAAATATAGATATATAAAACGCACCCGGTATTTCACAGTGTTTCAAGTGACTTCAGATAAAGTATACATGTACAATTGATCAAAATAGAAACCTAGTATTGGCTCCTTTGTCTATTTTAGTTAGTCAAAACAACCATGTTCTATGAGGAATCCGTCAATCCAAGTCTTTATATCCAGGAAAAGCGACAAGAAAAAAGAGAAGTACCAGTTTTGCTTTTGACAGCAGTGGTTGCTGCTAGATTGCGATTTTCACAGGGTTAAGACTTGTCTATTATATCGGTGAAACATATTATGTTAGCCTGAGATCTGCTTGAAATCAAAAAACGTCAGCTACCATAATGAAAGTGTGAAATATTTACAGGCCGTATTTCTGCTGTTTCTGCTACCAGAACTATATCAACGATACAAAGCTGAAACACCAGGATAACAATAACTTTCATTCCTTTTCACAATCAATATAGAAAACATTTACAGGATCGGTGCTACTATATCTCTCACAATCACAGTAGTCGGTAAAGTGTATCGCTCAAAATCTATACAGAATAGTAATTCGTAAATTCGTTTATAGATGGGGCTACACAAGGACTGTGTCAACGGGGTCAGTCTGCATCCTTATCGACCGATATTGGCGACCGCGTCAGGACAACACCACGCCCAAGACCCACTACATCACACCAGACATGCGAAAGTGTACGAGAACGCGTTGGGTATGTGGTGGTTGGGCCAGCAACAGGAGGACAATGATATCATTACTGCCATCATTAAAGCAGCCACTCATACTTAACTGTAGGTTTATTTAGGTGTTACTCTGTTGAATAAATTAGGTTTTTGTATAAATTGGTGTTTTATTCTGAGCTACCAGAACCTGTAATATGTTATCTGCCGCGATATACCTACAGCATTAGATATACAGGGTGGCACATCGAAAACGAAACAAACGCATTTACTGGAAGCTCAGTTTTTTTTTGAAAAACGCTCAGACCCGTCGATTTTGTTTTCGAGGGGGACACAAGTTTGGCAAAAAATCACGTTAACACGTGCAGCCCCCTGGGCGGGGGTGACACCAACCCTAAAATCTTAAATGTAAATGGGGGTCGAGTGATACCTGATTTTAAAGGTCTTTCAATTCCCTTTATATTGGTGTAAAATACATGAGCTTCAGTTCAGTAGTTTTGAAGATTCATTGATTTAAAGCTTAAAGTAGACTTTAACAGGTTCAGATTAGTTTGTACTACTTTCAGAAGAAATTTGACTAAAAGAATTTACTTAATAAGTAAATGCCTTTCTTCACTACGCCCATGGTTTGTTTATCATTTTGTTGTTGAAAATAGCTATTGGAGCGTTTTCTTGTGGCAAAAAAGTTATTTCTTGAAGAAAGATAAGGAAATATCTCGTACTTATTTTAAATAGGAATTTTATTTGACCAAACTTTGTTCCTAAAGTACCTTGTCACGCTTTATTACATAAATTAACCATGGTATATTCGACAGCAGAAAGAGTTGAAATTATCGAAATATTTTTCGGAAATAATCAGTGCGCTAATAGAACAGCAGAAATATTTAATGAGCGACATGAGAACAGTAACGTGCATCGAAAATATGTTCTAGAACTTGTAGCTAAATTTCGAGAAACTGGGTCAGTCGCCAATAAAAAACGCAACATTGAAAATCCCATAAGGAACGAAGCAATATAAGTGGGGGTTTTAGGGCAAGTTTATGTAGATCCTGTGTTAAGTACCCGCAAATTGGAGACTGTGAGTGGTGTTAGTCGATGTACTGTCCAACGGATTCTAAAGGCCCATAGTTTTCATCCGTACAAAATTCACCTGGTACAAGAACTTAATGAAGACGATTTTGATCGGCGATTACAATTTTGTGAAGATATAAGTGAACGAATTATAAACGATACACATTTTCTATTCAACACTTGCTTTTCCGACAAATGTTCCTTTTTCTTAAATGGCGTAGTAAATCTTCATAACACTCGATATTGGTCCGTTTCTAATCCCAGAATTTATCATGAGGTTCATACACAGCAGCCACAAAAATTAAATGTTTGGGCTGGTATTTTTGGCGATCATTTAGTTGGTCCTTTTTTCTTACCTGGAAATTTGACCGGTGAAATGTATTCTTAATTACTGGAAGACACCATAGATCCTGCATTAACAGCCATAATTGAAAATCAGAATGATCGGCGGTACATTGCGAATAGGTTGATGTTCCAACAGGATGGTGCCCCACCACATTACGCATTACGTGTTCGACAATATTTAGATCACACGTTCCAGATCGATGGATTGGTAGAAGAGGTGCCATTGAATGGTCCCCAAGATCGCCAGATTTATCACCTTTGGATTTCTTTATGTGGGGTCATTTAAAAAGCAAAATCTATACTACTCAGCCAACATCATTAGAAGACCTGCGACAAAGAATTGTGAATGAGTGACTTCAAATTACTCCTCAAATATTGCAAAATGTGCGGCAACGTTTTGAGCAAAATCTTTATTATTGCATGGAGAGTCATGGTGGCCATTTTCAACATGTACTTGCCTAACGGGTCAGTTCATTCTTCATTTTTAAATTACTTTGCTGCCAAATGTATTGATCTCCACTAATGATGATGTATTAGTTTTATTTAAGCTTTAAATCAATAAATCTTCAAAACTACTGAACTGAAGTACATTAATTTTATATCATTATAAAGGGAATTGGAAGACCTTTAAAATAAGGTATCACTCGACCCCCTTTCCATTTAAGATTTTGGGGGTGGTGTCACCCCCGCTTAGGGGGCTGCACGTGCTAACGTGATTTTTTGCCAAACTTGTGTCGCCCTCGAAAACAAAATCGACGGTTTAGAGCGTTTTAAAAAAAAAACTGAGCTGCCAGTAAATGCGTCCGTTTCGTTTTCGATGCGCCACCCTGTATAATACCGCCAATACACTCGCGCCGAGACAGCAGGAGGCAAGATGACTTTCTTTACACCAAAGCAGCCGCGCAGGCAGAAGCCTAAATGCCAGGGCATCGCGGCTGCTATGAGGATCTCAAAGAAACTTTGTTATTCCGACTTTTGAACTGCCTAAGGTTAGTAGACCTGGGAAAAGCTTCCTCATGTAGATTGTTACACAATCTCGACACCCTCGGGACAAAGGAGCGGTCGTATCGGCCAGTTCTGGTTGTAAAAGAGCCTAGTGCATGTTCACCCGCAGGAATTTTTCTCAGGGGGTACGATCGTCGGTAAGAGACTATTTGTAAAGTGTACCTGCCCCACCACTTTTTGAAGAACGGGGGGTGTCAACTTTTCTCACAGGGGGCCATATCCTAAAAATCCCCAGAAATATATAAAACCATGCTAACTATTCAAATTTTAAGGTCTAACCGGAATCTAGGAGACACCAAAAAATACGTATTGACAATATATCATTGTTACGAGGTGACGTCTTAAAGATCAAGTGTACTCGTGGAGATTTTTTAAATATGCCCTGATAAAAAAACACTAAATTAGCTGGAAGTTGTTTATTGTTAAAAGTTTTGTAAGAAATAGAAAATACAATAAAATTAGGCTCACATACTTCAGTGTAAAGAATACAAAACTGTGATCCCAACAGTTGCATGAAAAATATTCTGTATAAGACTTCATGCACCGTTAGATAAAGATATATGCTCAATTTTAATGAAACTAATATATGTCTGATTACGCGTTAACCTCAGTGCATGACCATTTCGCAAACGAATAGAATATATTTTCTAGAATTTTACAGTGGTACCTACAACATTAACAAAATCAAGCAATATTTTGTAAACACAGTTATTTAATTTATGCAAAATCAAGTTACAATCTTTTGGATACAGATATGAATAATAAAACAGTAAACAAATGAATAACGATTCTTATGGTACGGATACTCGATGACATTTTACATTCGGATAAGTCTTTAAAAGCCACTCTTGAATGGCAGAGCTGTTAGTTTGACGAGTATAAAGTTTTGTTATGCATCTGTACTATTAGAAACGATTTAAGCAGAAATGAAGATCCTCCACCAAGCAAAATGATATTTATTCCCAACATGAAATGACAAAAAGACAGCCAACAAAAAAATTAAAGTAGGTGATGTGTATTATTTACCTATATCCGTGTTAAATCATAGCATACAAAACGCTAGAGTACACAGCAAGCTTTATATAGACAGAAGCTCTGATTTCAGCAAAATAAAAAATCATACACGGCATAAAAAATAAAATTAAAAATTACTAAATAATACTATATTTATTATGAACTGTGCTGAATATGTGATGGAATAAGTAAAAAGTGTGTAAAATGTTATACGAGAATGGAAGCAAAATGATTTTGATACCCGTTTCACACTGACGATAAAATCCATGGATTTCTACATGAACCCAGTTCATGGCCAAATTTCAAATGTATACAACAGAAATCAAACGTTAAATAAATTCATGAACTTCTTCGTGGAAGTCTTCACGCAATTATAAGACTTGTTCTAATTTTTGTCAAGTTGCACGCACTGCAAAACATAATCAGGATAACTTTTAAGAACTCCATCTGTTGATGTAAAACGGGTATAGTATATATTTTGAATACAATATAACAATTTAATGAAATGCAATGAAAAAATTCCGACACCACAATAATGAAATGGATGAGTGAAATGGAAATTAATGTAAGTATAACCTATTTATTACTTAGAATAGTGAAAAACAACGTGTGCATTGCTGAATTCAGAACTCCGATATAATAGATTGAAATTGGCGATATAGGGAAGAAAAAAGAACTACTAATAACTATAGTGAAATTGAAGCGGTAACAAAAAGTGTGTGTAACAAATGATTAAAGACAACTTGAGAGAGCAATTAGTTGTCTGCAGAGACCAAGTTGATACATCTGTCAATGTCAAGTGTTTGTTGGATGAACGGCTCATCCCTCAAGATTTGGCCGGTGCGTTGGATGATGTTCAACAATTTGTTTTTCGGCAGGTTTAACTGATCGTTACACACGGAAAGTTTGTCCAGCAGGTCTTTGTTAATCTGGAAAAAAAAGGCGAAATTATATTTCTTGCAATTTTTGGCATTTCACCTGCCAAGTCATAGAATTGAAGTCAATCTCGTGAATTGAGTTCAAAAACGGCTCAACGACAAATCGGATTTCATCAGGGACATCCAGTGATATTACTTCTTAGTTCACCTATTCCTGGTGAAACTCGTAACAGACTGATCTAGACCAAAACATCAGTCAGTTATAAATAGGAGTCAATTTCCAGTTTGTGAAATCTGGCCTAAGCAGCATGCGTACGAAGCTAATAAATGTGGTGCAAATTATATACGACCATGGAGCCAGGACGGCAGTGCTGTTAGTGCTGTAACAGCAGTGGTGCTTTGACAGGGTTGCCATGTTGGCGGATTTTTCTCCAAAGTTGAGAGATTTTTACTTTGGGATATGATGTTCTGGGAGATATCACACGTTTTGTGGATAGGAAGTATCCGCCCGCTCTTTGAACCAAACTTACCCATTTCCATTAATTAACCGTCGTTTGGGGATTTTTTTTTGAAAAATAGCAAGTCCATTCAAAATTAAGGATAGTGTCACGGCAAATTAAATTCTTTCTTTCCCTTAGCAGCAAATAACTAAACAGGTATAACAATAAATACAGTTCGCCCAGGATATCTGAGTTGATGAAAAGAATGCGGACAAAAATTCGGGTTGTTATTTGGTTGTTGCCATGTCTAATCTTCCGGATTGGTTTTTATGTTGGTAGTTTCCGTTTTAAATTATAAACGAATTGTAGATTTGGCAAACCCAAACGAGCAACATTTTAAAAAAAGTGATATTTTGGTGTGTTTTTGTTTTTTATCTGAACAAATTAAGATAAATGAAAATTTTTCTAATTTTCTCGAAAACGAATCGACCGATTTAAAAAAATCAAACGTCAAAATAAAGGACCTTTCAAACAAGCTATTACTCGACGTCCCTTGTCATTTAAAATTTTTAAGGGCATGACCCTGGGGGCCGAGGGTGAAGTATTTTTTGGTTAAAAAGTTGTCCCCCTTGACAAATCGTTTGACGTGTCTCTGTGTTTTTTCTTTTAATCAGTGGTTTTCGATAAATCCAAGGCGGGAATTTTTCAAATGAACACCCTGTATATCTCGATAAGAGCAAGTGTAACCCCTACCTTAGCTTGCAAGAAGTCCGAAAACTTCATTTTAATCCTCTGCTTCCCCATGCTCTGGAAGAACACCGTAAACTCATCCCCATTAGCTTTGACCTTGAAGTAGATTCCTGCAATTAGGTTACCCTTCTGGTCTCTAGACAGTAAACTTCTGAAGCAGTACACAAGGTTCCTTCTCTCTGTGACGTCAACCGCTGTCTGGTAAGGTCTCCCAACGTAGATGAGACCTGTGAAGCATTCCTGTTTACCTTTACGCGTTGTGCGTTCGTCCCATTCCACGAAATTGGGGTTGAACGAGCTGAAGTGGTAGCAGTATTCTTTGCAGACGTCGTCGTCTTCAGCTTGGATGTACCAGCCTAGAGAAAAAACGCAAAGAAAAATAAGAATAAGTAGAAAAAAGAAATATAGTGACTGACTCCTAATTTTTGAACCTGCTACAGTAACCAGGAAGTTGAACAACGACAAAAAATTATTGGAATGTCTAATATCTAAATACGAGCTTCATTAAGGGTGGACATTTTACTTTTTCGTCCATCACAGTCCTTTGTGAGTAATAAAGGGGACAAGTGACTGACAGTAACATCTCATGTAATCCAAAAAAGTATATCGTTTCCGAAAGAGTTCCCTCTGAAGTATTAGGGCCCAAAATGTTGAAATGTCAAATAAATATATGCGTTTCTAGTTTCGGGTCTAGTTTGAAGAAGTTCAATGTTACATATTTACCTGTATGAGGATAGTTATTATCATTCATAATGGTGATTACTCTAGAAACGTGGTATCCTGGGTCACAAAGCAAAACTCCCGTTCTTCCAGAGAACTGAACCTTCAGGCATAACAGAACATGCTCTTTTTCCAGTTTGTATGTTGACTCCACCCTTTGACTGGAAATAAACAGAATTTATATGATCTCAGGAATCCTCAAAATACCTCGGTGTAAGCTTAGAGATAGGGGAATTTTAGAGCAACCAGAATGATTCCGTGTTACAAATATTTATTTTTACAGTTTAGTAGACCTACCATAGCAAAAATGAAAGAAGTACAAACATGAGCAATCCAAACCTCTTACATTTTCTGTCCTACAAAAACTACCGAATTGCAACGTTGCATTGGCGCCTAAGGTCTTTCAAAAAGCATCTGTCAACTGTCGAAATAATATGGACTATAGAAGAGAAGCGTCACTCCGTAGTTAAAACAGTAATTGGAAAGGTGTCTGAAATGATATTGTGGTGTCTAAAATCCTGCATGCCGTTTAACTGTGGCGTCTGTGATATAGCAGGTAGTGAGAAGAAAGGTGAAGATCCAGGTTATGAAGGTCTCCTGGAGTTAGTTGACCGCAGAAGTGTTTCACTTGTCGCAAAACAAGCTTCAGGTGGGGTGCTGATATTTTGATGCTCCGCTAATGATGTAAAGGCAAATATTATTGCTCCAACATATTTGGATTTTGAGCTAGCGTCGCTTGAGTGCTAACACCACTAACTAAAACAATTAAGACATGCATTTACATGTAAAAGGTCTCGGTGATTGCAGAAACCTCGTCAGTAGACAGTATTTCAAGCATATGAGGTTTTATTTGTCACCAGACAAACATGGAGGATTATAAGAGAAATGCATGTCATTCGATAGCGAATCCAAAGACCCACCGTTCTTTTTGCTCTGGTGAAAAGTTGTTAGTTTTGTGTGACACGGTATTAGAACTCAAGCGACGATATGTTTTTTTTATTGAACAGCTGTAATTATCGGAGAATATTCATTCAACATTATTTTTGTTGAGTTCACAGTACCAAAAAGAAAACAATACGACACAAATTTGATATTAAGTTCTACATCCCACGTCAACGAGCAATGACGAAAATTTTATATTTTTACGGCGTCTCATCATATACCCAAAAAGTATGAATTCCTTGTTTCAACATCGGTTGTAGCTGGCCTAAGTATGCTCCGAGAAAATAGATGTGTGCCATTTTTTTTACCTTATTTTATACTTTTTAGTATTCTGTATATTATTCATTTTCAGTGAAACATAAATACGATCTTTCGAAAAAAAAGTGATTGTTTTCATCTACACTGAAAAAGCTTTTAGGATATAAGCATAAAGCTTGGGTATTCTGATTTCTTTTTATCTATAATTTATTGCTAGGACCTTACATTCCACGATCATTCATGCTTCTTAAGCCATCTGAGGCGCCAGTGCAACGGTATTTTTGGAGGCCAGAAAATGTAAGAGGTAAGTGCAACTTCGATTGATCATTTCTGTACACTATTTACTTTTAAAATTCCACGCCATTTATCATTTTCGTGACGTCATAATTTTGTCATATAAAGAGATGGAATACAAAACAATAATGAAGATAATAATGCCGTAAGCGTATTTAAACGGTTTCCAGTCGCGTGGACTCATTTCTGCTGATCCTACCTTTGAGCTGTGTACATGGGTGTACTATCGATATCCTCCTCGCAAGAAACAACGCACAAATAGTCACCAATCCCTGGATATTTGCTTTCTAGCTGAATGCCAAGTCTGTGCCACAATTCCAAAGCAAGTCCTACGCAAGTGTAATGGTCAGGCGTTATTGGTGGTGTATACCTGAAAATTTATACCTTCTCTAGTATTCTACACTATCTATTTTATAAAGGCTGTAGCTTAAACCAGATACACGGTGTGACATAATATTATTTATTACATACTAAGAAAATAAAAGGTCAGATTCAGCTCGTCACAACATGAAAAAAGTTCATATAAAATATAGGTCTAGAAATACTTCGTTTTCATAATATAGAATAATTTCTGCGTTAATAGTTCATCTTACATTTCTTGAAAAAACATTGGGATGAGTTTTCGTACATGCAAATGTTTTATCAAAGGTCATTTGTACAAAGTTGTCTCCAAGTCTCTGTATGTTTACCGAAATAACACCACTGGTCTTTGTAAAAAAATTTAAATCTTACAACCAAATTTATCGTTATTAAAAGAATTGTAATCGAACTGGTAAAGTGTTACGACATTAGGCAACATCGTGTGAACAGTGCAAATCATTTACGGTTGAGGTGGGCCTGTTTCAACGAGTAAGAGAGAGAGAGACATTGAAATTCGGCCGACCTCAAAGTAAATGATTCGCACGGTATGTAACAAAAAAAACTACATACATCCTGAAGAATTCGAGGACATTGGTACATCCGCTCTTCTTGAAAGCATCGTAGAAAGCTAATAAATTTCCTATGGTGTCGTAGTTGTGCTCTTCAAGTAACTTGCGTACATGCATCTCTATTTCGCAAGCCAAAGATTCGTATTCCCTTATATCGCTGTAAAAAAAACACAAACATGTGAAAATATTCTTAATCAACAAAGCTGATAAATCATATTTTTTAGTATAAGATTCTTTGAGAATCTGAGGAGTGTAGAAAATTTGCCGACATCCTTACGATTTTTTGTTAATATTTAGTTAGGCAGAGGTCATTTTTATACAGGGTGATTCATAAAAACGGGTAAGCAGTTCTAAACTTGATTTAAGGGCATAGGTCTTATATGTCTCACTACCAAGATACAGGGTGTTGTACATTTCTACGCCACTGATGAGACGGAATATGGACAAAACATGAGTATTATACTCACCTAATAAGCAATTTTCAATGTTAAACTTTATTAACTTTGCCTAAGCTTCAGGGTACAACAGCAGGGTTATTACGAAAGAAACATATATAATATATAAAAAAAATATAAAATGTTAACTTGTTGACTAAGTAGGATGGTGTGCAAATATATTTATTCTATATAAAAATATAAAATGTTAACTTGTTGACTAAGTAGGATGGTGTGCAAATATATTTATTCTCCTATAGGAGTCAAAAATTACCGAATGTCTACGCCACTGAACATTTTTGTATGTATTTATTGGCTATACTCTTACTACTATAAGTAAAAAATTTTAAGTCAATATCTTAGCACGCTCACAAGATATAATTTATCGACCTCAAAATTTTATTTATATATATATATATATATTTTTCTGCCACGATTTTTTGAATCCTTTGTATATTGAAAAATATTGCATACCTTTCGGCATGGAGCCTATATACCAGGGCAGTTCTATTTGTGCCACAAAAACGACTCGGAAACTCGATGCTGGGAGTACCAGTGGTGCTTTGACAGGGTTGCCATGTTGAGGGACTTTCCCGGGAATTTGGGAGATTTTTACTTGGGTAATTTCTTGGGGATATAATGTTCTGGGGGAAATCACACGTTTCGCGTATAGAAAGCATCTGCCTCGCTCTTGAACTGAACTTAACTGTGATTTGGGTGTTTTTTTTAAGTAGCAATTCTGAGGGATTTTTGTGCGTGTTCTTGGAAAATTATCACAGACCCATTTGGCAACACTGTGCTTATAAGCACTTTCTTTATACCCGTTTTATATTAATAAATCCACGGATTTCTCCATGAATTGAATTCATGGCCAAATTTCAAAAGTTTAAAACAGAAATTTGTCGTCAAATAAACCCATGAAGTTCTAATTTTTGCCAATTTCGTCGCCAAATAGAACTCCAGTAGCCAATACAATATGGTTTCTGTTTATGACATTCGCGTCAAAATCAAAACTACAATACATATAAAAATTTTAAATGTTTATGGCAAAAAATTGTTCTGTGGTTGAAAGCACTGTGTACTGACAGATAAATCTATGAATTTGTTCATTGAATTAAATAATCAGGGTGATGTTGAAGAAATCCATCTGAATAAATTCGTTTAGAAATTTTTGATGTAAAAATGATATTCTAAAATCCGACTGCTTGAATATGCAGGTATCTGTTTTTCGATAAAACTTGAGAATCACCCTGTATAGGCTCCATGCTCTCCGGAATTACGATCCGAAATGGTTCAGTAAAGTTACACTTTTTCCGCAAAAAAATCTTATGGTTATTTTTTACATACCAAGTCTAACATCCCTGGGCTATTCCAAATAATCGTAATTTCAGTCATACACGACTATTCTGAAAAAACTATCCCATGACTTACCCGAGTTGGAATGTTGGCATGGGCCCCTCTCTCCATAGAGGCAACGGCAAGGGATGTTCCGGAGGCCAGGGGCCGGCTCGCTGGTCTTCTGCGATGGCAGGATTAACGGCTAAAGGGCCATCGCTAATGGCCCCGTCGAGACCGGCACTGGACCCTAGGGGCAGGGTCCTCTTCCCGGCGACCTCCGGTAGAGGCTCGGGCGACAGACTGGGACTCCAGGCGGGTGCCAGATCGAGTCAACTTGGCCATTCGCAGCCCCAACGGCCCACGGTTGGTTCCATGGATCTGGATAAGGCAAAACGTTATTTAAAAACAACCGGCTGCTAAAATTATTTTGAATTTTTCCTTGAAGTGACCTTCAAATGTCCTCATAGTGGCTGACCACAGAATAAGTAAACCAGAAGGTACACTCAGGCAAACTCTTCAGATTGAGTATTCCGTATAGGTTCGGACTTAATTAGCGACGTGCTTACCTGTCAGAACTGGTCTCTTCGATGGGCAACAGCGCCTGCGCAAGGGCGCTGGCAGCAGCACAGCTGCCATTGTGTACAGCGGCATTTTGCTCAGCTGTACACAGTGTATTTAGTAACGGTTGTATATCACGCTCTGAAAGAAAAAACTTTGTTATAAATCAGGAACTAACTACTTAGTTAAACTTAAATATTAATGTAGTCTACGATCGGCAGGGTTACTATGAAAACTTATTTAATGTAAAAAAATGATAAAAGCGCCCATGGTTATTAGGCTCAGTTTTTATATAAAATCTAGTTACAAATCATTTGTAATATGATTTCACTTTGCCCAATGAGGTGTTTCGCTCTATTGTATATTAATTAATTCCTGTAACGATAGCAGAAAGCTTAGTACGTGGCTTACAGTTTGTTATTAAAGTACTTTTGACATTATTACTAAAAAAAATAAATTATCTCTTCTTAAATATTAAATATTTTATTTTCAACGCAATATATGAAACTTATCCTGCTGATAAATCCCCATGTTTTTTTGGCTGCCAAATGAAACTACAGATGCATGAAGTTGATAACAACAAAAACATAAACACGCCAAAATGTCTAGACTGCATAATGCATATGTTGTGAATTCAAGCCAAATCACAGATGGATCATTATACAGGGTTATCCAAATTAAGTGTCCACCATTAGTAACTTTGTTATTAGTGAAAATACAAAGTTGTTTGAATTAGCAAACTAGTAGCATTTTTAACGCTGGTAAAAATGAGAAATAAAAAAAAACAATTGAGAGTCGTTATTTTGATTTTTTTCAGTAAAATAACATTTTTTTAAATGGAAACCCCTGTATATTATATGTTTTTCTGTTAAAGCATCAAATTTTAAACAAAAAAGTTCATAATGACTTTTCCGCTAAAGTCAAAAATAAAGTCAAAATAACGATAAATATTTTTAATTATTTGCAGTATTATAATATTAAGACGGCTATGAAAACAACATGGCGTTCGCGATTTGACAGCATTAAGATAAGCGACAAATTGTTAAACTGGACATACTCGCAACAAGAAGGCTTTGGAAAACAATGATAAAATCAAATAATGTCAAACATTAGTGTAAATACTTGTTTATAAGCTTTATTGTGTCATTAATTTAAAGAAAAATGTTCTCCCATGAAGAAAAGTGTGATATGTTAGAATGCTATTTAGTGTGCAGAAAATCGTCCTTGAGAGCAAGAGAATACTACAGTGAATTATATCCCGCTCGCATTCAACCGTATGAACGATATTTTCTGAGACTTTATCGAAAATTTAGGGGCAACGAAAATGTTTTTGCTAAAACAAGGGCAAAAAAAGAATTCATAATAAGCGAGGCCACGGAAATTGCAGTTATTGGATATTTTGAAGCTTATCGTGAGAATTCAATAGCAGATATTCTCAAGGACTCTAATTTCAGTTATGGTACTGTTCAAAGGATTTTAAAAAAATACAAATTTATTCCGTATAAGTACCGACCAGTTCAAACGCTTTTGGCAGGGGATCCAGAGAGAAGACTTGTTTTTTGCCATTGGTATCTTAGCTTCTGTCGCCAAAATGTAAATAACTTTCGTTACCTTTTATGGACAGATGAATCAAATTTTTCAAATTCTGGAATGTTTAATAGAAAAAACCACCATTATTGGTCAAGAGAAAATCTTTTCTTAGTACATCCAAGAGGCCCACAAGTCCGTTTCAGTTTCAACGTTTGGTGCGGTATAATTGGTTCAAAAATTGTTGGCCCGTTCTTTTATGAGGGAACCCTAACTGGTGAAAGATATGTGGAATTTATGTAAGAAATTCTGACTAATTTCTTAGACGAATTGGATCTTATAAGTAGACATCATCTGCATTTTCAGCAAGATGGCGCACCTGCCCACAACTCCAGAGGTACTTATCATTTTCTAAGTACTACTTTTAATGATCAGTGGATAGGAACAAATGGCCCAATACAGTGGCCTCCCAGATCACCAGATCTAAACCCACTTGATTACTTCTTGTGGGGTTACTTAAAGAACCAAATTTACAAGCGAAGGTACGATAACCTTGACGCGTTAAAGACTGCAGTTAGGGAAAAGATAACCCAGATAGATGGTAGGACCATACTTAAGACAGTTCGAGCAGTTGAAAAACGTGCCCAAAAATGTATTGAAGAACAAGGTGGTGTTTTCGAGCATCTTCTTTAAAAAAAATTGTTATTGTATTTTGTAAGATTATAAGTTGATGTTGAAAATAAAGTTTGTCGATACAATTTAATTGTTTCAGATTGGAGGCCATAACTTCAACAATTTGTAACCTAGGAGAAAAGTTATTGTAAGCTTTTTTGTTTAAAATTTGATGCTTTAACAGAAAAAAATATAATATACAGGGGTTTCCATTTAAAAAATGTTATTTTACTGAAAAAAATCAAAATAACGACTCTCAATTGTTTTTTTTTATTTCTCATTTTTACCAGCGTTAAAAATGCTACTAGTTTGCTAATTCAAACAACTTTGTATTTTCACTAATAACAAAGTTACTAATGGTGGACACTTAATTTGGATAACCCTGTATAGAGTGAGCCAACTTCCATGTAATTAAATGCCAAAGTATCGCCACATAAATTTGTCTTATTTTCGAATTACGCAAAACATTATACTATTAGGTCTATAATATTTAGGAATTACGAAAAACCGAGGGAAGATTCTGTGAAATCCGATTTATCACTGAGCATTTTTTAGTTTGGAACGACAGTAAATTTCCAGTTTTCAGAATCCTGAATTTCGGTGAACGTGCCATAATACATTTACCATGCTCATTCACCATTTTTAAAACTTGTAAAGGTAGCTAGCAGGCGGTGTTTTCGTTGGAAATGAGTGGTCGTTTTTTAAATAACGCTGACTAATATTATTTCAAAAATATTTTCATGGTAATTAAGGCATTACCAAAAAACATGAAACTAAACTATTTTAATATTTTACAACTCTCATGAAGTAGTCTAATCATATTAGCAAATTTACCCGAAATAATTGTAAATTCTAGTTTTATTGATGCAAAGTTGTTCAAAGGGGTATTTGAAACAGGGACGCATAAAATGGGTACGCTAATTTTTGTCGGAAAACTTTTTATTCGACGACAAAGAATGAGAAAACGTGTTTTTTGGGATTTAATTTAAAGTATTGACAGGAACGAAAACATTCTTCAATTTAGAATTTTTTAGGTATTTGTAAGACCTACAGAATGAGACTACACGTAAAAAGATCCGACTAATATTAAAAAAGTTATGGTCGAAAACCTAGGCAAAATGCAGGTTCTGGCACGTGTTGGTAATGCCACTATAATTTCACGCAGCTGATGCTTGAAACTCCTCAAGTTCGTAGGCTTGATATTTCTAAATAACCACAACGAAATTGGAGTTCGAGTAGTTTTTGAGAATTTCTAATTTTTTATTCCGAAACACCTGTCTTCCGGCCATCACTACTAGATTACTGAGCAAAATACAGGGTTCGACACTTTATAGCAAAATACACGAGTTTACCTTGCCGATATGAATCACAAACCATTCCGAAAGATAACTGTGATTTTTATTTGAAAAACGAAGGGTTTCGTTTTTTTCTTCTAGACAAATTCAAACATTTCGTATTTGTGAGTATTTGAATATATTCGCTACGATATCTGAAAAACATTATACACATTTTAAAACAAAGCGGCTGTATCCAAGAGCTTTTGTTGCGTGTATACAGATTTAGAGCTGAAATTTTTACACGGTCACAAATGAGCGTTAAAGTTTATAAACAAAATATTTCATACTGAAATGCGCTGAACTGTTTATAAAGTTAGCACGCAAACTGAAGACACAATTATGTTTTATATTCTGAGTGGCAGACAAATTGTTAAATACTTTGTATCTAATTTTTTTTATAGTATCGTGTATCGTTTCTCAGTTCAGAATCATTTTATATGAATAATCTGCAGGTATTTAGTTCAATAATGCATATCAATTAAAATGAGTGTAAGTGCCGAGTTAGCCTACTTGACTGTATCTTTTGTATTAATGTAAAATGTATACGTATATAATTGAGTAAGCACAATGTGACAAAGTGATTGCACAATGGCGATAGCAAACACCCCTAAGTTAATCAATATGCAACAAATTTCTCTCTAAATAATTTCTATGTATTTAGCAAAACATTATGACACTATGTAAATTGAGTCAATTTATTATCGTGGTGTTAATTTCAATTGAGAAATATTTATATGTATCATTCAACCATATGTACATTTCTTGCTAAATAGTGAATAAATGAGTCGCGATAAGAACACGTGATTGCAAAATTACAATTGCAGTATGTGCATGCAATAAATCGCAACATTTAACAGATCCCCTGATAGCAGGATATGAACCTTGCAGGATGATGATACCACACATTTGTAAACAGATAATTGTTGATAGAAGGCTCTGTTTCAAAACACGTCTGCCATATTGTGTTTGATATGTGCTAAGGTGAATAACAAATTAATGTATTTCAACTGTTTGGATATCTGAATTATTTGTTTAAATTTCTGAGAAGATGATCAAACTGTAATGCTTCATGATACATTTAACCAACGTCTAGACGTATTTATCATCTGATATGAACATCCAAAGTGATGGTCCGTCAAAATAAGTATGGGAAAATATTTTATTATATCAAAATACTCAGAAATACATCCTCCTTCAAATCGAGGAGGGTCCGAGGGCCAATAATCATCGTTGGGCCTACTGCGCACCAAACTGTAACTTTCGGGGTATGCAGGGGGTGCTCGTGCAACTGTTGGGGGCTCACTGGAGTCCAATATCGACAATTTTGTTTATTGACGTATCCATGTAAATGAAAATGTGCTTCATCACTCATAAACAACGTCATGTCATTGTTATCCAACTGTTCAATCATGAGCTGTGCAAAATTGACACGTTGTGCATAATTCCCTGGCAACAGTTGTTGACAAACTTGAATTTTGTTAGGATGGAACATTAAATCCTTCTTAAGATGAAACGAAATGGTGTTACGGTCTGGTACTGTCCCAAGACGTGGAACACGAAACTGAACGCGACTCGCCATTTTGAAGGTACCGACGTACAGTGAAC